ACCAGATATATTAAAAACTAGATACTCCTAAAAAGTAATAAGGATGATATCTCACTACTCCCACAGCACCAGTTTTGTTCATTTTCTCAATGACATACAAGTACACCTGAAAATACAAATTCCATAGCAATGGTTGATGAAGTTTATGCCTGGAAAAGGTATGCTCACAGCTGTATGAACAGTAAAAACTCAAAGTAAATTTTATGGAAGTGGTGTCAATGATGATTTTAAAATATATAGGTGTTGTCACTTGAGGGAAAGAAAGATCATTTCAACAATTTCACTTTGAGGAACCGGGTGTTGAGTAGACCATGCTAAGGCTAAATTATTGCGAATGTACATATATCACACAACTTAAGTGTGATGTATTCACCACTCTAAGGATACTAGTCATGAATCAGAAAGATTATTTAACAAGTCTCCAGTTCTTAAGATGATTTATCCCAATACCCTAAATGATAACATTCTCTATTGAAATCAGACCAAAAAAAAAGGCAGTAAAATATGGCTGAGCACATGCGTTCCACACAGTAGTTATGAGTTGCTCAAAAGAGTGGAGTTCTAAAATTTATTTTGATTTTCTTAAACTCACTCACTTGTGACCAATCTCATGTGCAATGGTAAAAGCTGAACCCAGGCCAATGTCTTCATTAATGCTGCAGCTCCTTTCAGGCTCACACATTCCAGCCACAGAGGCCAAGCCTGAATAAACAGAAGGAGACACAAAGGGTCAAGCCAAGGTGTTTCAGTCTTAAAAAGCCCATACTTATAAATGCCTGGATTCTTTTTAATAACCTCCACGCACAGAAGGAGCAGTTGGCAAAAGGTTAACTTTCTAGTCATTTGCAAAATCACTGGGGGGAGTTTCACTTTGCCGGCTAGACATTAATATTTTTTGAACTGCAGTCAGTGCTGGAAAATGTCTAGACTAGGGGTTAGATTTATAAATTTTACTTCTGGTAACTTGGGACCACCTAGTAACTTGAGCCAGAAGAGGGAATTCAAGAAAGCATTTCTATTTTAACATTCTTTAGGCTGCAGAAAGCAAAATATATCCACATTATTTTTCTAAAGAGATCTGTTTAAGTTTAGTGGGTTCATAAAAATATACAAGCAACTTTTTAGTTACCAAAAAAAAGGGAATCCCAAATGGTTTTTTAAAATGACATTTTTATAAAAACAAAAATGAATGATTCAGAAGAGAAAAAGGAGAAATGTTAAAGATAGGAGGTTGTTGCATGTTTTTAATCTTCTGAATTTAGTTCTGATACTGATGCAACAATTTCTTTAAGTGTTTTAATGGTAGCAGAGTCATTCACACATTCAGTGTAATTCTCCCTCTCCCATCCCCCACCGATACATTAGAGTTTTACTAATAAAAAACTATGGTGTTAATTCGCTGATTCTAGTGAACTGTTATGTTACTCAAAGTATTCTTCCTTTGGGGATTTCAGTATGTAAAAGCCTTACTGTTTACTTCCAAATGACTATCACGCTCTGTGAATTAGGACGTAACTTGAAAACAGTGCTTAGAAAAAAATAATTTTTGTGCAGAAGACAAAATGTCATGGAAACAGATACTGAATCATACTTTACATAGGGATGAAAGTTATTTAGAGGAAATTGAAGGAAAAGTAGGAAAAACTTTTTATATGTTAGTAGTCTGCTATCGTCACCCAAATATTAATAATTATCTTAACAACAAAAGTGATTTGAATCCAATTTAATGAACATTTATTGTGTGTGATAAACAATGTTCTGTGCTGGGTATAATTCCCCAGCTGCACGAATTTGGAACAGTAAAAGCTATTCAATTCACATGTTTACTGACAAGAAAGCTCTAGAAATTATTTCTCTGGATTTCCTAATATGAAATTTCTACACAATAACCACATTGGAACAGAAATGAGGTTAGTGCTGGATTTGCTAATAGACCGTTTACTTTTCCTACTGTTTTATGTGGAAGAGGCAGGAGTTGGGGAAGGGGTTAATTTCTGCTTCACAGAGTTATTGTAAACACTAGTGTTACCCTTGTCCTGCCCTTCCATTCACTTAGAAGTCTTAGGACCTGAAGAAGAGGGTGTGAACAGAGGGACTAGTCAAACTCCACTGAGAGAGAGACAGAGAGAGAGAGAAAAAACAAACAAACAAACAAACAGTGTGCAGTATATTACCCAGCTTTAAGCTATTGGGCTCAATAGAGTCCATGATATGGGGAGAAAATGCCACTCAAAACTCTTTCTGTTTTGAGCTTTATAAAATTTGGATTCAAAAAATATTAAGAAGAATAATTACAGTTAAATTAACATTTCTTACACTTCCCAACATATATTATTCCATGGGTTAGCTTTTTGTTTATTGTTGTTTGGTATGTGCCATGTACTGTATTTTTAATTGAGAATTTTCAAGAGCTCACAAAGGTGTATTTGTAAGCACTGATTTACCACTGTATCTGATATAAAATTGTTAACTCTACTAAAAGAACATATAAGAAAGAACATATTTGGCAAATAACTACTACTTGTTGAAAATATCAAGGTAAATCTTAACTAAAATGAAAGAATAATTTAAATGCTAATGTATTTTCACAACCCCCCACCACCACCACCATTTTCTGTATTCCTATAAATTGAAGCTGTCAAAGTTCTTATGTGTGATTGTGTTAATAGGGGTTTGATTACTATTTGGGTCATTTAGATTTCCTCAGTTTGATGGCCACAGTTTTCACCCTTAAATCTACTTTGCCAAATTCAAATTGGTCGTCAGAGGTACTAAGCAAACAAGAGAATATACAAGAATCAGCAAGAAAACCAACACGAAAGTCACGAGAATGACCATTCCAACAGAAAAAAACCTCATCAGTTCTGTGCTGATAATATATTTTCCCACATAAGGTCAACACACATATATATATATAGTTTATTCAGTTTTCACTATGAGACAGTATAAAAAACAATTCATAGTGATTTATAACTTGAAATTTTTATATTGAGCTTGAAAATGCACTGGCATGTATTGATTCTAGACATGAATAAACTATAAAAATTTAAATACACTATTTTGAAAAATATAAAAGGAGAGGTGGAGTAGGGAAATACCTCAAATCTACTTTGGCAAAAATGACAGTAAGAGTACTAGGCAGTGTTATTATTAATGTCTCAATGTAAATAATATCTCAATGTAAATAATTTATCTTCAAAAAGCAGAATAGGATGTGTATACATGTACACAAACATACATACATATATGTATTTCCTCAAAAAAGCTCTAGCTTGTACCTTATTTGAGGCTTAGTGTCTACTGTATCTAAAATGGATTAAGCACTTAGTAAATGCTCACAGAATTCAAACAATATACAAAAGGTAAGTTAAACAGTATAATTTCTACATTAAATAAGAACAGCTGTTTATTTTTTATAGTACTTCTTTACTAAACACCTTTGTATTTTCTTACTTAAATGACTTTAACAATATCCCTGTAGCGTAAGGGGAGATACTACTTCTACTTCATAGATTAAGAAATTGAGGGACAAAAAGCTAAATAAACTGTAAGAGGCAGTGCCCTGAAACGCCAAAAACCAAGCGTTCGCTTCCGGTTTAGGGTCCCTTCCATTGGATCATGTTGGGCGTTAAACTAAAACACTACAGATAAAATCTTTTTTGATTAGAGCCCTCTCAGCAGAGAGCTTTTTCTGCATTATGCTTTTTAACTAGCAAACTTCTCCACCATAATACTCATCCTTGGCTATTGGGGTTTTTTCTTTAGCCATAAATCCTGGGGGAAATGAGGTGGGAGAAGACTGGAAGGCAGGTTAAAATCATCAAGAGAAATTGTAATCTCTGAAGAGATGATTCACCAAACATCCCAGGAAGCTGGGCGATACCTTTTCCCCACTTCTCCTTGAATTTGACCTTAAAAACTCTTACGAAATGCATAGGACTAGATTTTACAATTATTCCTTTACAGATAAGGAAATCGAAACTTGTCATGAAGAAAATAGAGAAGTCACCTTCAGTTGCTTGACTTCTGAGTCTATAAAAAATCCCTATGACACTAAAAAATTATCATTAAAGTTCTTATTTCTTAAAATAATTCTATTTGCTTAATAATTTAGTCTACTTGAAAGCTACTCTTTCCCCATATTTGTATTTGTGGTTAGCTTTTACCAGTATGAAGTTATAATCTGCAACAAAAGGGGATTTTTTTAAAATTATAGAATATTACAGAAATGCTTTTTTTAAAGAACAGTTTTGGATGACACAAAGGAATTATAATCCTGTCCTCTCTACTACTATATGCAATATTTTACAAAGTTGCTCTTTTTTTGTTCAGATACTAGAAATTTCTAATAATATCTTAGTTTATGGGGATATACTATTTCCATCAAATTGCACCAAAAAACAAACAAACAAAAAAACTGTCTTCAATGTCTCTTCCTTAAGTATCTCCTAAGTGGGTTTTTTCCCCTTTCCTTTCCTAGCCTGAAATTTAAAGATGCTGGCTGCTTTCATTTGCTCTCAAACTCCTTGGTATTTTTGGAAAATATATTACAGAGCTGGATTATATGAAAATGAGTGGCAAATTTTGATTTATCGCTATCATTTGATGATTTTTAATCTTCTAAACTGTTTTTAATCATCATTCATTCTACTTGTGTCCTGGTAGGTGATATATTCACAGAGGTCAGATCTAACAATTTATAGGAGTAATTTCAGATGTGTCAGAAAGGAAAATGACCAGATTAATAATAAAGAGTAAAGTCACTGGCCCAAAGAGACAGCTTGTACTATCCTCCCTTTTAAAAAACACTTACCCAGTGTTCCACAGGGCTTATTTTTATAAGTGCAGATATCATATCTATAAAGGAGAAAAAAAAGAGATGCAATTTGTAATCTGATCAAATCTGTAAAATATTTTCATATATTCATCACATTCTTTCTTGGAGCTCTGGTTGTCAGGCCACAATCAGTGCAATTATGAGCAGCCAGCTGGAGTGTTGGCATTTTCAGCACTCTGGGGGCCACCGCCGGCTGCACTACACTCACAACCTCTGGCTACAAGCCAACGGGACACCTGCCAGTGAGAGAGAAAGGTTAAAGTGGATTTTTGTAATTGCAAGTTCCATAAAACCACCTACCGTACTGTCTTGACCCTAGACTAGCTTGTATGCAGGTTGCTACTGCTTCCACAACAAGCAAATGGGTAGCTTTTGTATTCCCAATCGTTTTTGAACCTGCTGGAATATTTCTTATTATAGCCACAGACAGTATTTTATACTTCTGAGCTACAACGTGAACACGGGTTCTTATTAAGTTAAAAACTAGAACAATGAAGCAATGGAAATAAAATTGGTATCGCATAGTTTTCCTAGTTGGATCCAGCAATTTTGCATGGTTAAAATGCAAATATTTTAAGTGCTTTTATTGGTCAGACTTATTCTAATGCTGTGTTGCACTGCAACTCAATACACTGAAGTTCACAAAACAATGTTGCATATTTTAAAATAAGTTACATTTAGAATGCTAAATCAACGTTGATGTAAACATTTACTTGAAGCATTTTTAAAATATTCTTATAAACTTATTTTTTTAAACCAAAAGCACAGAGTTTTCTAAAGTGAGAATAAAAAATAAATTTTAAAAGACTGAATATTTTTATTTGCCTATATTTTAGGCTAGAAATAAAAAGCTTTTTAGTTAAAAAATAAATTTTCACAAACTACAGGAAAATCCAAGTTGTGAAAGTTCTTTTTTATTGTGTATAATGATTAGTCCACATTACTGCGGAAGTCAGTAATTAATCCCTTAACCAACTCTTCATCTTGTTCAAACTCCTTACATTTGAGGACGGGGGTTTCCTCTCCTCTTGCATAACTTTTTTATTTTGACCTTTCACACACTCATTCTCTCTCTTCTCTTGTAACTGGTAAACTAATAGGTTGCAACATCTGGTACTTTCTTGAATGTAAGAGAGAGAGAGGGCACTTGGCGTATTTACCAAAGCACCAGAAAGAATATTCCGGGTGTCACAATCAATTTATCTTGCTATCCTAGTGCGTAAATGCCTATAATGTTACATAGACACAACCCATACCAGCAGTCTTCAAGAAAATGTAAACAAAGACTTTTCATAAAGGGTAATGCAGATATAAATGTTTAAGCAAGATCTATTTCCAAATCCTCAGCTTCCACACGTGCCTTTTCTAAAGCTGATCTGTCTGAGAATGCACCTGCAAGTTTATCTTTTCTCTTCGGCCTTTCACAATTGCCCTGTTTCTACTTTACAAAAAAGAAAGCATACCTCTCACCCATCCCAAACCTTGGTATGATGTATTGCCCCCTGGGTACACAAGTCTCCAGGGCACAGTACAAAGGAATAATTTGAGAATGCATGGATCCTAGGGGTTAATCTCTTATGAGAAAAGCAAGAAAAATTGAAGGTTTGTAATGCTTATTTCACCCTGGCAATACTCTAGTTCTTTCTACCCATCTGACTGCTTACAAACCAGTCTATATATCCACCTCAGAATTAGAATTCGGACCTGACACAGTTGTCATGCTGTATTAACATATTCATTTGATCTAAAAAATAAAGTCAGGCTTGTTACTGACAGACAATAAATCTGACTTACCTAAGTAGTTTGGCACTGAAGACTGACTTAGTCAATTAGATTACATGGCGAAAGCTTTTCATGATTCATTGAAATAGGCAAGTCTGTATCCTATCAACTTTCTCTGCCATACTATGATTTTACTTAATTTTCCTTCAAACCTGGACCACTTCAAGAAAAATTGCAAAGAAAAATAATGCAAAGAATCTTGCTTTATCCCAAAGATATAACGGGTGTGCTTTTAGGACTTATCCTGCTGTCCTGCTGTCATACAAATTGAAGGAAGGACAGAGGAAAAGGAGTCACCCACTGCCACTCTCTACACCCTTTAAACAAATCAATCTCTAAAAAATCTTAACTGACCCAAAGGTGGCAGGAGCTCCTCAACTTAGGCTAGGCTACAAAGTACACCGGAGTCATAAGAAGTGATAGAAAAGCTGAAATATGCTTAGAAAAGGTTCTCTGGTTTCTGAATTTGGATAGAAAATCACCTTATCATTATGGTACTTGTTTTGTTTTCATGAAAGAATAATAAAGGCCTCCAGGCAGATATAAAAAGAACTGAGAAACATGATCTTAGGGAATTTACATAAAGACAGGTACCTAAAGGAAATGAGGGTTCTGCTTTCGGATGAGTGGATGAATGCACACATTGTCATTCTCTTACCCTAAATTCATATTGTAGGACTGACTGACTAAGATCAAAACCACAGAGGTTGGTTGAATATCTGTTACTATAACATTGGTACACTCTTCTGTTGTACATACTTTCAACTCTGATTTCCTAATCATATTTGGCTAGGCATGACTATCAAAAGAAACTGACCAAAACATATAATTAAGTTCCATTTTAAGGTCTGCAAAATATAGCACTACATTATAATGATGAAATACCTGGATGGCTTCTTAAAACCTTTTCCAAAAACTACATTCCATTCTTATGTAAGAGCAACAGTCATTACAAAGAAGCATTCCTTTCAGTGATTTAGTTTTAAAATGGAATGAATCAAAATCTAAACTTTGAGACTCACTTGTTTAACACTGAGTCACTTCCAAACAGAATGTCCTAGGTACTGTGCTGTCTCATTTGTACTCTTAGATGTGGTGGTGAAAGCCAAGTGATAGTGACACAGCAATTTCTGCTTTCTTAACACACACTAAGGCACCAGAATTATAAAACTTCAGTTATAAAAACAATTGTAATAAAATAATGCAGAAAAAAATATTTTCACCCAATATATGCAAAAATTTGTATCATTCTTCATGATAAATGAAAAATTATAAGACCACTTGTCTTAGTTTGGGCTGCTGTGACAGAATGTCATAGACTGGGTAGTTTAAATGACAGACATTTATTTCTCACAGTTCTGGAGGCTGAGAAGTCCAAGATCAAGGTGCCAGCAGATTCAGTGTCTGGTGAGAGCCTGTTTTCTAGCTTGTAGACAACCACCTTCTCCTGTGTACTCACATTGCCTTTCACTGGTGCTTGCTCAAGAAAAGAAAGCTCTAGTGTCTCTTTCTCTTCTAATCAGGGCACTAATCCCATCATGAGAGGTCCACCATCATGGCCTCATCTAAAGGTAATTATCTCCCAAAGGACCCACCTCTAAATGCCAACACGTTGGGGATCAGGACTTCAACAATGCGGTTTTGGAAGAAACAGTCAGTCCATAACATTTCACCTCTGCCCCCATCCCAAGCTCTTGTCATCCTTGCATATGAAATACATTCATTTATCCCAACAACCTTAACTCATCCTAATAATCTTAACTCGTCTCACAAAAGTCTTAACTCATTCCAGTATCAACTCTAAAGTCCAGAGTATCCTCTAGGTATTATCTAAATCAGATATGGGTGAGACTCGAGGTACAACTCATTTTGAGGTAAAATTCCTTTTTAGCTATGAACCTGTAAAACCAGAAATGCTATGTATTTCCAAAATACAGTAGTGGGACAAATATGGGATAGATGTTCCCATTCCAAAGGGGAGAAATCAAAAGGAAGAGAGAGGTGATGGGTCCCATATAATTCAAAACATAGCATGGCAAATTCCACTAGAGATTAATGTTCTAGAATAACCCTCTTTGGTTGATGTTCTGCCCTCTGGAACCACTGGGGTAGCAGCATCACCCCATAGCTTCACAAGGCGGTCCCACCCCTTCACCTTGGCAGAGTGTTGCCCATATCACTCTCTGTGAGGACCCTCCCATGCAGCTCTGCAGGACAGCAGTCCTGTCCTTAGAAACCAAGGTGGAGGAAGCCTTCTCTCCAAGGACACACACTCTGAGCCTGTGGTGAAAGTAGAAGCGCTGATGATCTCTAAACTGCCTTTGGGGTCCTTCTTCCCCGTTTTTGAAGGTATAATGTATGTTCACAGCCTTCCTTTATTCCCTCCTATTTTCTCTCCTTCAGTCCCAGTAGGCAGTGTTTCTCTAGATACAATCTCATCTCTATTGCTGGCTTTATTCAGATGGCTGAATATTTCTGCAATTCATACCCACGCTAATCACCTTATCAAATATGGTCAGTCAGCCACACCCTTAGTGTTCTCCTCCCAATATGCTTTCTCATTTTTTGCAATATGAACAGGGCAAGATTTTCCAAATCTTTAAGTTCTAGTTCTTTTTGCTCAACATTCCCTTTTTCAAACCATTTGCTCTTTTCACGTTTTACTATAAGCAGTCAGGAAGAACCAACACTTTGCTTAGAAATCTCCTCAGCTAAATATCCAATTTCACTGCTCACAAGTTCAACCTTCCACAAAACACTAGAATATGAACATAATTCAGCCAAGTTCTTTGCCAGTTTATAACAAGAACCACTTTTTCTCCATTGTCCAAAAACATATTCCTCGTTTCTGACTGAGACATCTCCAACAGGGCCTTTATCACCCATATTTCTACCAACATGATCATTTGGGTATTCTATAAGAAGATGGAAGCTTCCTTTACAACTCTCCTCTTTTCTTTCTGAGCTCTCACCAGAATTGCTTTGAAAAGTCCCTTCACAACAATCACGGCTTCATCTAGCATGCACCTTGAAATTCGTCCAGCCTCTACTCATCAAGTTCCAGTGCTTGCCATTTTTAGGTACTTGTTACAAGCAGCACCCCATTCCTCAGTACCAGTTGCTGAATTAGTCAGCTTGGGCTTCTGTAACAAAATACCACAGATTGGGTAGCTTTAACAACAAACATTTATTTCTCATAGCTCTGGAGGCTGGGAAGTCCAAGATCAACATGCTGACA